ACTTGTTCGAACCACAACAGTTTCGGTGTGAATTAGATGAACTTAATTTTTATCAGTGTGCTAAATTTTTGTTTTGATTTTTACGTCCCAGGAAACAACTAACATACACGAGTTATTTAAACAACAACCGTTTCGTCAGTGTGCTATCTTTTTGTTTTGATTGTTACGTCCTAGGAAACAGCTAACATATAAAACCGATTTCTGACATTATTAATAAAAGAGATATAAAGCGATATTTCAAAGCTGATATTGATACCGAGTGGTCATCTGAGCTCATTTGTTTCGGTGTTCTATAGCTGATAAAAAATATTTAAAAATATCTTGTTACATGACACTATTATACTAATGTTTGGAAGGTATTTAGAAAGTAAACGTGAAGAAAAGGACAGTGTATAGATATTCTTGTTTGTGCTAGATGAACAACAACATTTTTTTTTTCTATTCTCATATGGTTTTATTTACAATGGCAAAAGATACACTCAATTAATGTATAAACAATGAAGCAATTTCAACAAAAGTCCAAAAATAAATCTTAAATTAGCAAAACATTTTCATCATTACATTATCTAAAGCTTTAGGCAATATAACATCTCAACGATAAAGCTTAAAGTTTACCATATAACTTTCAATAAAAAGAAAATGCAAGCTTATTGCTAGTTTAGTTTGTCATTCGAAAAAGTCCTTGCATATTCTGTATAGAAATGAGATCGGTAGCAGTTAACGACAAGCCCAATCAAGTAGTTGATTGGTTATAAAAGCTCAATGTATCAATACTTGTCACATATAATAAATATACTAATATATATATATACATATATATATATATACAAACCTTATTTGGAGTTCCTTTTACGATCGATTTACCATTAATTAATTCAAGAAAAATTCCTAGAGAACACACCTGTCTATGAAGTTTTTTAGATAAAACTGCTCACTTTTTCCGAAAGATTGAGCTATCTTCAAAATTTTAATCTATCGAAATTGCTTTTTTATGCTTTGTTTGAATAAATGGCCTCAGATTCCGTAGTAAAACACCACGTGGTTATGGCCTCAGATTCCGTAGTAAAACACCACGTGGTTTCACTCTCTTCCCGTCAGAAACCAATTCTTTGAAGAGAGATATTTTAAGGTTAGTAGGTGTTTAATGTTATAAGAAGACGCGTACCGTAGAATCAGAAACGATATTCTGGTAATATATAACATGTAAAACAATATCTTAAAGTTGTGGTTCCTTTCATTCACACACGTGGCGCTCCTGTGATACAAGAATATAAACATACAGTCGCAATTTTCTGAAAAAAAAAATGGCGACGTGTTGATTCTTGTAAATAAAACGGGAGAAACGTGACCCGAATCTGGCATTACGAAATATATTTGTTTTCCAAAAAAAATACTTTGTCAAATAAAGTCGCTTAAAACTACAAGGCACAAGAACAACAACAGTAACAACAATAAAAAATATAAAAAAAATTAAGTCAGATCTGACCGTTCGTTGTTTCGTAATACTAACAGACTTTAGACATTCCAATTTTAACTATTTTTATACCTCATTTCTAGCATAATTAGAGCATTTTCAATCCATTGAAAATGATAAGTGTTATCAACAGTTATATTTGGTTAAACTAGATGGCGCTATGATACACGATAATTTTTCATTTATTATGGAAATATAAGATATTTAAAAGGTGATGATTAAATTGGGTGAAAAGTATTTTAGATAGCTTCAAAATCTTGTAAAAAAATATAGAAAATCTAGACAAACACCAGTTAATATTAGTATGCAAAACTGCTCAAGTCGCTTTTAATTAAACAACCATCTGTTTTTTCTGAAATGTTTACAAGTATAATGACGAATAAAACGTTTAACTTCCACTGTTTGCTAGTTAGTAAAACCACCAAATACTGAATAATACAAAAAGGAGTATGATTTGAGTTTAGAAATACAAATATTATCAAAGAAACAATTCAGAGTTGTGCAATATATGCTGATAAAAGACTAACTTCATAATATCAGGGTTTGGAATGATTGTACACTACAACCTTTTTCCTAATCTCATCCAAAGTTGGAACATAAGTTCTTTTTACATTTTTAGGACAACGCATTTTCTATACATAATCATTAGTTATAGAAATCAACATTAAAAACAAGTGAGCAATGTAACAGGTGTATTTTGTGACATTTCAGTTTCCGTTGGAATTCTTTAAATACAAATATTTAAATAAGATACAATACCACACACGATGTAAAATTCCCAAATGGCTCAGCGGTAAGCCCGAGAGCTTGTAACACTAAATTCCGGGGTTCGATTCTCTGCGGTGGACGAAACGCTGATAGCCTATTTTGTAACTGAGCGCTTAACATCAAACAAAACAACGCCTACTCTTTATATACATCATTGGTCAACACAGCACTGAATCAATGACCTTGGTCACCGAGTAAATCAGTTCACCAGCGCCCTGTGATAGTTCAATAAGTTGCAATTAAATATTTACGAAATAAAAGGAAGGCGTGATTTGAAGTGTGTTATTCACTGGTCACGGCCATGTTCTCCATCTGAGAGTTATTTTCTTCCACGGGAAGAATCGTTCAACGACAAAATGTCTCTTCATTTACATCCTTTCTGGATAACAAAAAAAGTCGTTCACTTTCAATAAAAACCAACGAGTTAGTGTTTGGTATTACCGTTTGGATGCAGCTTAAATATTGTTGAAACTGTATGGTTGTTACCGATCTTAAGAGGTCAACAACGAGGAATGCTATTGTCCGAATCTCCGGAGGAGGCTAACGAATAGTTGGCTGAATCTCTTCTTTTTTGTTCACTCAAAGCTGACCTCTCACTGTGCATAGGTTGACCGACAAACTGATTTTTACTGAACAATTCATTACCGTCCGCAGTAGAATGTTGGGTCCAAAAAGACGTAGCTTCGTTTTTTACAGAATTAGTGAGCAATGGACCTTCTATATAGTCAGACTGGTCATTAACTGGGGTCAAACGTTTATTTGTAGTCCGACCAAATCTACTACCAACATTCTTACCACTGATAACTCGGTTATTTGGGTGTCTGATACCCACAGTTAATTCGTATGGGTTATCATATAACGTACTATTTGGTAGCAACGAGGATAATAGTGTGGATCCACCAGTACAGTCACTGCCTGTAGGTGGAGCCACAGTCCGCTGTAATGACAAACTCTTCCACCTGAACTTTGGTGGATCCATAGCTGGTATGTTTTCTAGACTAGAAGACCGCTTGTCAGCCATACTGCAGTTGGAGTGAACACCACTAGAGGAGTCGCTAGCTGCTTTATCAAGAGCTTCATTGTTAGAACCTGATCTGGGCGTCAGATTATCTCGGGAGTTGTTCTCGTCTCCATGGCCTTTAGTGATTCCAGAATCCGTGCTGAGAGTACTATGTGGGGTTGAGTTCCCGGGAGAAGACTGGAGACCATTATGGACAACAACAGGAGCCAAAATCCTATTAGAACATCGACGGTTGTCAAGAAGTAAAGTGTACTCTCCTTCGTCCAACAGAGGGCGTGTACTTCCATTGAAACGGAAGGGACTCATACTCTGTAAAACAAATGCATGAATTTAACTATTTATGTAAATGTCAGAACATGCAACTACTCACATAAAACACCGTTACTCTAGTTTGTTATGCAATGATATATAAACATTTCTAGTGGGCTAACCGCTTCTAATTATTTCAAAAACTTCTCCACTCCAAAAAAGTTTCTAACATTCGAAGTTACACACAACCATATGCAAGTCTACAGCTTGATGAATGAATTTATTTTTAATTATATTTATATTAATACATATTTATCTATTTATTAATATTTGCTATTGGTTTGATGTACAATCTTTATTATTAATATTTTATGCCATTTTCTCACCTTTAAGGAAGGTCTCTCAAATCCACCATCTTTGGTTCTGATAAGTTCCCTTAGAGTTGTATAATCTCCAATGTCCGAGTTCACATCAGAACATTCTTCAAACTTAACTTGGGGTTTTCTAAGTTTACCAATAACGCTTGGAGTTTTGCTATTAAGTGATCTCACTCGTCTTAAGGAAGATCCAGGTAGCCTATCTTCAAATGTTACTTTCTGCTCTTTGGAGAAAGACGATTTTCGAGAAATTTTGGGCAATGACATTCTGTCTTCTTCTGGTAGACCATCAGTATTCTTTGGGAGAGGAAACTTAGGTTTCAGCCAGTAGATGTCTCCATTGTCATCTGGTGATTTTTCACGAGTCGTCGACATTAGTGCTATGTCTATAATAGCTTCTTTAGACGTTTTTTCTCTTATATGGTAAGTCTGTCCATTTTCGATAACCAGTAGTGGTAATTCTTTGGTGTCGTTTAACATTTCCAGTTCACAGTCATTAGCTGCTCTTGGTCCACTACAGTCTAGTGGGCAGTTTTGACCTTTGGCTGTTCTGAATCTCCATGACTGTTTCACGGTGAGGCCTAACCAAAGCAATACCCAAAGCAAGAGATGCATTACGGTGCCTATCACACCAGCAAATACTGCTCCATCTAGACTTCCACAGTAAACCATCGTATAGTCGTACATCAAAGGTGCAGAGATCGAGATCACCAGGAGAAGAATCAGGAGAGCGCTCAGATGAGGAATGTAACCCCAGAGACGGCGAGATTCCTCTGTCCAGGTGACGTGACGTTTTTGGATTTTTTGTTCTTCGAATTCGTGGAATTTCTGGAGACCATAGAGATAAAGAATGCTGGAGGACATCATTAAAATCATATTATAAATAAAGAAAAGTAGTAAGCTCTGTGAAATGTTCAGAAGAAGCGGACTGAACCTCAGGAGGACCTCTGTAGGTCCGTACATGTTAACTTTGTAAAGAACCGTGAACCCAGTGAAGGCTAACAGCTGTTGCAAGGCAGTCAGAACTGTCTGAATCGAAAAGAATAAAGTGAAACTCTTGTTGACCTTCCAGAAAACGGAGGGATAGCGAACTGCGTACACAAATAAAGCCAGTCCGTAATTTAGAAACTCTGCTGAGACAGGAGTTATGTCTTCCAATTGATCTTCGGTCACTGCTTTGGGTCTGAGTTGTTGTTCTGCTGCTTCCTTCCCCCACACCTCAGTTTCGTTTATCGTGGACAGAAACTTAAGGGTCACTAATCGATCCTTGTGGGTGATCATGAAGTCCAAATCCGTATTCCAAAGATTAGCTAAAAAACAAAACAGTTTAATTTTATAAATTTTTGTCTTCCTTGTTTACAAGTCGAAGATTAATATCTGTTTTTTTACACAGGTTTGCCAGAAAAATTGTTCTAAACACGTAGGAAAGCTATCACTTATCTAACTTTAAACTATTTCAAATAAGAAATCGAGAAGAATATTGCTTAAAGATTAAAGCTACATTTTAGAAAAGAGCATTAAAAAACCAACACAACTGTTCTGTGCTAACAGAATTCACCCCTCTCACCCCCAAAAAACCCGGTTTATAAAATTATGCAAAATGAATGTTTCTTGTGCGTTTCACAATTCCTTGTGTGACAGAGGTGTCTGATCCCCAAAAAGCTACACAATGGGCCGTGTGTGCTGCTCATAACGAGTATCGAAATTCAAATTTTTGCGTTATAAGCTCCCAGACTTACCGTTAAGCCACGAATAGAGGGGGAGGGGGATCTACGTTGGTTTAAAGTAAATGAAGTGATTATAGGATCCTTATCGTCAATTACGTAACGCTAAAGAATAAATACGGCATATATAATGAAATTACTATCAGATCCACAAATTACAGCGTGGTTTTAACAGTTTGTACATGCGACAACTTGGATCAGTGTTGGGATTATCTTTCTACCTACCATTCTGCCTGCAATTTTTGAGGTTATTTGTCATTCTTTATATCCATCTGCTCCTTTGCTATTATCGGGAATATCATTCTAATTCATAACCCAAAAAACAAGATTCTTGCGGAAGGGTTTGAAACTAATATACATATCTTGGCCTTATTTATCAATAATGGATAAAGGTTTAACATAACGTTAATGATCAAAGTTAAAAAAAAAGAGTTCTTTAGACTATCCTAAAAAGTTATACACATGCTAATTTCAGTCTTTTTTTTTTTCAATAGATAATAAATTTCAAAAGTCGGACTATCCATTTTCTGGCTTTTATAAAGCGGAGTTTTAAAGCTACTTTAAGTCATGGGCTTAACAGTTAAGAAGCTTTACGAGACGCACCTTTACCCAAGAATCCGTGCTGGATCAATCTGGCCTGGATCAACACCCTGGGTAATAGCAAGCAGAACGCTGTACAAACGTGAAGGAACGGTGCTGTCGGGCCGCCATGTTTCCAGATCATCCTCAACCATCTTCTTGGCTTAGCTCTGCGCAAGTTTTGGTAGATAGCCCCGTCTTCATCAGCGTCTCTGCCCCACTTCCCGCCATCATTAGGAAAGTTTCCAACTTTGATAATGCCAGCAACGACGAAGAATGGTAGCAGGATCAACGCTGCTCCAATAAAGGCAACATATGCGTTTAACTCCACGAACGGTTGGTCATCCACTGGCCATGGCAAAGCAATATGTTTAATAAACTGGTGTATACTGTTGACAATAATGTAGATTTGAAAGACGAAAGCCATGACGCAATACCATATTGAAAATAGGTTATTGAGGCGTGGCCTACGGCATGTCAGTGAGAATGCCCTCTGGTGTCTTCTGTTAGTATTTGTAACGAATGGCATGGTAACAGTTGATAGGTTACTTCAGTTCCGACAGATTTTGTGGACGTCCAATGATTAATTGTCACATCAAACAACAACAATTGATTAATTTGATACTACGATTTAACGACCATCAAATAAAACACAACTTCACTGACAAAAGATATTTTGTTCCTCTGTAACGACCTGATCAGCCACGACACATCGACGAACTCCCCCGAAGGACCTAAATACGCACGTAAAAAAAAAGAAGACGTAATTAGACACATAATTATGTAGCAATTGACGTTAGATGTGTAAAACTTTGATACATTCGTTAAATCTTTATAAGTATCTAGTCATCGAACGAACTTATTTTTTTGGTGTTAATAAATCAGTTACGTGATTAAGACTAGTCAACGTAAAACACAATAAAATAAGACTTTAAAAAAAATCACTTTGACTTCCTTGGTGTAAGATTATTAAAAGGAACTAACTTGCCAACGTCTCTTCGTGGGATTATAAGGCTAGAATTTGGGGTTCGATACTCGTAGCGGCTACAGCGCAGATAGTCCATTGTGTAGCTTTGCGTTAAAATAAATAAATTACTTTTCAAAGCGGCCAGACCACGTAGTTTTTACATGAAATCACAAAAATCGAAACCAGTGCTCTGACCTGATGTCACGTTTGGTTAGCACGTGGTTTAATTCTATTCCTGTGATGAATATTTCCAGCGGTATGGTACATACAGAGTAACAGACCTCTTAACAGCCACATTTTATCGCTGTCAGTAAATAACCGATGAAAATGTAATCTTATCGTTTATCGCCAGATCTACATTCTTCGCCAGTCGTTGTTAACAAGATACATATCAGTAGTTTATCGCCAGATCTACATTCTTCGCCAGTCGTTGTTAACAAGATACATATCAGTAGTTTATCGCCAGATCTACATTCTTCGCCAGTCGTTGTTAACAAGATACATATCAGTAGTTTATCGCCAGATCTACATTCTTCGCCAGTCGTTGTTAACAAGATACATATCAGTAGTTTCGTTTTGAGTTTACTTACTGATTATAAGCATTTTTTTTTTTATTACAAGTTACAGCTTTTACACTAACAGGTACGACCGTCTTTACCGTTAAAACCTATTTTGAAACAACTATTTTCAGCTGTGACCTATTATAAGACATTACTAAGGGTAATTCTGTACATTTAGAATGAATTTTCTATATTTAAAATTCTCATTTAATTATATTTTATGAAACAAAATTAACATTTGGTCTTTCTTAGAAAATTTTATTAGTGTATTGAAAAATATACAACCGAAAATATCATTAAAAGGGACGGTAACCAAGCAACGAAATAATACATTCAAATTTTTGTGAATAGAAACGTAAGAAGAGTTTATTTAATTAAATATACTGATAGTAAGGTTGATTTTTTTTTTGTTTCGCTCTTACAACATAACTTGCTCTGATTGGAAGTTAATATTCATTTTGTACAAAACCTGTACATAACAAGATCGACCTTGTAGAACATCTGTACAGAACAAGAGTGACTTTCTACAATGCAGTCCACATTCTATGCACACACACACACAGACATTCAAAGAGATAAAAATCTGAAACTTTGGCAGATGAAAGTATCTCGGGGAGAGACGTTACGAGAACAGCTGCTCCCTTGGACATGTGTTATCCATTAAAGACTGAGCTCTCATTACACATGGGTTGTAACCAAATCACCGTGAGCGGTGCGAAGATTTGGTGGAAACTGACATTACATCTATAGTTACGAACTCCAGGACATCCCGCCAAAAACTCAGTTTGATGGAACCATTCGAGTTCACTACAAAAACAACTTTTTAAGTTACACGTGACCACTTAATGTGTTGTAACAACACTCAAAAGTGACTATCTAAAGCGTTGTTTAGTTTGTTCTGAAAACCGCGCAAAGCTACACGAGGGCTATCTGCACTAGCCATCCCTAATTTAGCAGTGAAAGACTAGAGGAAAGGCAGCTAGTCATCACCGCCCACCGCCAACTCTTGGGCTACTCAGTTACCAAAGAATAGTAGGATTGACCGACACATTATAACGCCCCCACGGCTGAAAGGGCGAACATGTTTGGTTGGACGGGGATTCGAAGTGAATCGTCCTAACGACCTGGCCATGCCGGGTCTCTAAAGCGTTGTAACAACACTCACAAGTGACTATCTAAAGCATTGTAACAACACTCACAAGTGACTATCTAAAGCGTTGTAACAACACTCACAAGTGACTATCTAAAGCGTTGTAACAACACTCACAAGTGACTATCTAAAGCGTTGTAACAACACTCACAAGTGACTATCTAAAGCATTGTAACAACACTCACAAGTGACTATCTAAAGCATTGTAACAACACTCACAAGTGACTATCTAAAGCATTGTAACAACACTCACAAGTGACTATTTATCTAATGTGTTGTAACAAACGGATACACAAAAAAGAGAGAATGATTATACAAAGTGCATCTTCTCTAATAGGGAAGAAGTAAGATTAATTAAAAACAAAATCTATAAATACACAATATATAATACACCACTAACTGATAACAGTATCGTAATAGATGTGTAATTGATTATAAAGATAACTAAATAAATCATAGTTTCATAGTTAGTTTCTGAACCAAACTTTTTGAGCAGTGACCTATTGATTTTTTGGAAAAGACGTATGTGTAAACCAGCATTAATTCTTGCATCAAGACAATGAATGTACTTGTTATTTTTGTAAATATTTCAAAACGACAGCCGTCAATATTAGCCACTAATAATTACTGGGGTCTCCTATGTCAGTAGAATAAGTGAATAAGTGAAGAATAAGTGAATAAGTGAACGGGGAGAATAAGTGAACTATTTAAGACAATAATTTGAGGGTTTTTAGGAGCTTGGGAAAAGTGCTCATATTTTAAAATCAGTTATTTTTAAAATAGAAATAAAATCGCTATCGTAATGGTATTATCTCAATATGAATCATGGCTGGTGGCACGTATTACAAGCGTTGGATGGATAAGAATTGTTTGTTTGTAGTATAAGCACAAAGCTAAACAATGGGCTATCTATGCTCTGCCACCCTCCCCCACGGGTATCGAATCCCGGTTTCTAGCGTTGTAAGTCTGCAGACGTACCGCTGTACGACTGGGGCAGATTGATAAGAAAATCGCTATTGTAACGATATTATTTTAATATAAATCATGGCTGGTTGTGCGTATCACAAACGTAATGGTATTATCTCAATATCCATCATAACAGGTGGTCCATATTACAAGCATTTACCTACTTTAGAATATTAGCAGCATTCATTATATTTAATGGTAAGTAATTACTCAATTGTACAAAGCACTTTTTTGTTCCTTTGTTTTCTGATGCCTTTCAGCTTGACCAAGCTTCAGACCGAAAGCTGATAAGTTTATATATCATTTACACGATTTCTATTGTTTCGAGGGCTGTGACTACGTAAGCTTGTACGAAGAGTCAGACAACTGTAAACATCGATGAATGGTAAAGCACATTAAGCTAGAACTTTCTCTTATCAACAGAAGCTTCACCTCAAGGTCAATGGCGATAAGTTTGGCCTGCGTCCCGTCAAAAGTACTGAAATAAAAACACCTAATTAGCGAGACTACTGTGTTAGGAATGAGTATTTTCAGGTTGGTCAGGAGAAACATCCTGTCAGTTCGTGACTTCCAGCAAATGCTACTAATTTCCAACTTCCTGTCCCATAGTGCCGTTGTCAACTTACTGATTACTATCAAGAGCTTTGCGTGAAGAATTTGTCGTGCGGGATCTACGATTGAACGATTCAATAAGAACCTTACACGTCAAATTGAACGTTTTGCTCTTTCTTACAACCAGTTGGTTCATTGTGGATTATTAATTGATGTTTGCTAAACCAGCTTATTCGTTCAAAATGGAGCTCCCGAAAATAAACCGATTTATTTATTTATTTGCTAGATGCATTTCAGTGTTCTCAAAACCGACTGAGTCCTGAAAAAACCTTTAGCTTTCAATCGCCAGACGACTACTTTACTCTTCCAAAACAGAAATACCCCCCCCCCCCCAAGTTGGAAATGATATAAATGCAAATAAAACCTTTCACAACCGACTGAGTTCTTAAAGGAATTTGCCTTTCAATCGACAAACGACCACTTTACTCTTTCAAAACATAATACTCCTTCATGTTGGAAAGAATATTAGATTAGGTGCACATGAAGCTCCCCCCCCCCCTTATTTTTTTACCTGCTAGTTACTTGACAAAGTTGTTCGAGCAAAATAAGTTCCTTACAAGGACTAAGCCTAAAGCATGTTTTCGGCTTAATGCTTCTCGTTTTCTTGACACCTAATAATACTAAGTCCAAGGGAAAAAAAACATTAGTCTAAAACATATTGTTAACTACTCTATACTAAGAGAATTTCGTCTTGGGAGCTTCTGCTAACCCGAGAATGGTCCACTGAAATGAGGGATAGTTCTGTTGAATATTAGATACTCATAAGAAAGATCTCTATCTTCAGGGTTGTCTCAAGTACCTCATGGACAGGAACAATGGCCGTCGTGAGGTAAATATTTAACGCGTTTTTACAGGTGTGTATATTCTCAGCGAACTGAGAAAAACCATTTTGTGCTCGTACTCTCAGTTACTCTTCAATTCAAACGTTCTTTTCCAAAGTTCTTTCGAAAGCTTTGTCACAAACGGTCGACGACCCTCAGGAGAAGTGTTCATGAATATATTAATACATTAAAACACGCTGACTAATCAATAACAGCGAATGTACTTAATGTGCATGGGAGTGTGTTAACCATCAAAGGTAGGCAACGAACTTGATAAACTGGGAATAATACACTGAAAATCACGTGGTACGATTGTCAACAATGTGCATACAAATTAACAACATAAAAGGCAACAAACAAGAAATGTGAGACACTGCATTGTTTTGTAATCAAGTAGCTTCAACGTTTTGTTAAAATTTTAATATAACTATTCCTTGCCTACGAACATACAGCTAAGTTATTGTATTTTTGAATTAAGTCCAATTACCTTTTCATTATTAATTAAAGAGAACAATTAAGCCTAAAGGCATTTCCTCGACCATTCCTTTTAACAATGCCAGTAATTGCACTGGGTGTTCAGTTCTGGTTCTAGACGAATGGAGCCCAACAATTGGAGCGAAATTAAACTGGATCCCATGACACCGGAAGAAGAAAGCTACTAGTTGGAAAATTCTGGAGAGTGATATCCGATGTCAGTTGCGTCGCAGAGTGATATCCGATGTCAGTTGTGTCGCAGAGGGATATCCGATGTCAGTTGCCTCGCAGAGTGATATCCGATGTCAGTTGTGTCGCAGATTACCTGCGCCTTGTTGTAGTTTGGTTGCCGTTTTATCAAAATTTAAATTAATTCGTTAAAATACATTAAGGAAATATCTGAAAGTGTGTGTGTGATAAATATATTTTTCCCCTGCAAGACTCAGGCAGTCGTTAGCTTACGGATAATGGTGATATATTTGTACATTATGGACTGTTTCAGAGAAAGCCTGACAGTAGTGACATAACTACACATTATGGACTGTTTCAGAGAAAGCCTGACAGTAGTGACATAACTACACATTATGGACTGGTGTAGAGAAAGCCTGACAGTAGTGACATAACTACACATTATGGACTGGTGTAGAGAAAGCCTGACAGTAGTGACATAACTACACATTATGGACTGTTTCAGAGAAAGCCTGACAGTAGTGACATAACTACACATTATGGACTGGTGTAGAGAAAGCCTGACAGTAGTGACATAACTACACATTATAGACTGGTGTAGAGAAAGCCTGACAGTAGTAACATAGCTACACATTATGGACTGGTGTAGAGAAAGCCTGATAGTAGTGACATAACTACACATTATGGACTGGTGTAGAGAAAGCCTGACAGTAGTGACATAACTACACATTATGGACTGTTTCAGAGAAAGCCTGACAGTAGTGACATAACTACACATTATGGACTGTTTCAGAGAAAGCCTGACAGTAGTGACATAACTACACATTATGGACTGGTGTAGAGCAAGCCTGACAGTAGTGACATAACTACTGTCAGAGTGGCAGCACCGTAGCTAGAGACAATATTCTACCAAGTTTAAACTTGTGATTCATAACTAGTTACAGTCATGCAGAAACTGGTGGTCCTGAGAACAGAACAAACTGGTATGGAAACTAGTATTACGCAAACAAAATCGATGGTTAAATATTTGAAGGAAGTCAAGGAGGAGTTTCAGACATTAATTGTGAGATTCTCAGGAAATAAACTCACAGTATCTGAACGATAAAAAAAAGTCACTAGCCGTGGACTATCTGAACCAGATTCTATCATAAACTATGATAACTACACAAAAAGGTAAATAATGATATTCAGAATTAACCGGTTATTTATGGCAAAACTACCAAGGCTACCGTCCCTAATTTGAAACTACCGACCAAGGCCACCGTCCCTAATTTAAAACTACCGACCAAAAGGAAGATAACCAATCAGTAGAATACCAATGGCCACGATCCTAACCGCTCAGTTGAACTCTGTTAAAACAATATTTGTTTTAAAACATTTATTTAGATCCATGGGGTTTTGAGTTAAAACCCCATGGATATTATATACACTTCACCGTTATAATGGTATTTCTTTGGTTGCTGACCCAAGTTGTTTGTTGATTAGCCTTGAATAGTGAGAATTGCAATCCACAGCAGAGGGTACAATGACAGAATGTTTTAAGCCTTTAAGCCACATATTTTCTATTCGATATCACCTCTGGTGAGAAATAAAAACAAGATCTGTAATATATATATATATATTTACATCGTACTTGATTGATGGACCAATCAGAGATCTATTGGTTAAAACACAAGATATTTCTAGTTGTGATTGCTATCCATACCATATTGTTGTTATTCGAAGTTGTCTCAGTTCTTGTTCCAGTGAAGATACACAAGGCATATGTGCACATAGCCATCCACGAATCTGAACTGATCCACTAGAGGGAATACAATCAGTCAACAACACCCACCGCCAGTTCTTGAGTTACTCTTTAATTTTAACCTTTGTTTATGTGTTTTGTTAAGCACAAAGCTACTCAGTAAGATATCTGTGCTTTGCCCACCACGGGTATCGAAACCCGATTTTTAGCATTATAATCCCTCAGAGTTAACGCTGAACCAATGGGGGGGGGGGGGTGGCGAATTGTAGGTTGGCTAGGCCACTCTTAGTTCTATTTCAGTTTTAATAGCTAACCTATCTTTGATTAGAGTTCATAATAAAAATATCAGACTTGGAAAGAAATAATAATATAAAAACCCTAATTTAAAAAAATGTGAAAATTTCTTACCTTTGTTGAATTCTGAAACAGGTTCTATTCTCACACCCAGTCGGTATAAAAAAAATACATACAAATGTTGTAAATTCGGTGCTGTTCTAATAAAGTATTATCAACAGATATGCTTCCACTTGAGGCACTCACAGACTCGCGTGCTCATCTCGTGCCGTCTCAACATCTTGTGAACAGACTGGTAAATGCAGCGTACAGTAGCTCAAATTTAGTGCTCTACTAGCGACATCTGAAGTCTTACCTTCTAACGAATGTCAGGACGCGTTCACTAAGGGGGAGAGGGGGGGAGAGAAGGAAAATGAAAGGAATGTAGCCCAGACAGGGAATATAAAAAAACAATACGTCGGGGTTTCTAAGGTTGAGTTTTGTGTAAGTACTTCCCAGTAACTCCGCTAGTCGTCTCTGTAGCTTAAGTTGAAAGCTTTATTTTTCACCTGATGGTGATGCCACGTACGTAGCAGGAGTTTGTTTTTGTCGTTTGTAAGTTGCTTTATCTAGCAAAAAAGTAATTAACTTTTCTTGAGCTTTAACTAAGTAGCGTACATAATTAATGCATCAGACGGTTTTTTCAAGACACCATAAATTGAAAAATTCTTTTCTAAACGTTACTGATGTGATTGTGATAGTAAAACTTTTTTCTTTCTTAACCTTAATCAGCTGTGTAATTAGATCGAAATTAAAAACCAACCTGGCCATGAGCATAACTAATTAAATATATTTTTATTTCGTTTCTACTTATAAAGATTAGAATGTTTGAAGTTAAGCACAAAGCTACACAATGGGCTAACTGTGCTCTGCCCACCACGGGTATCGAAACCCGGATTCTAGCATTGTAAGTCCGCAGACATACAGCTGTGCCACTGGGGGTAGATTAGAATGTATTGTTTGATCAGTTGACAGCTCTCACTGTTAACGATATTTTCGGCCGTAATCCAAACAATATCTCACTTAGGAGATTTAGGTTAGTCCTAAATATATATTCTAAGCTAACAGTGGAAAACAATCTTTATAATAAAAAATATAATAGTAAACAATAAATCAAAATAAAAAGTAATGACATTATATATATTACGTTTAGGTTCACTGCTGCGATCATTATCAAATACACAAGTTTCTACAGTAAAAACTGTAAATTGTAATAAAATATTCCATATATTAACTAGTATAACAAATATTGTTAATGAAAGCAACTATTAATAAACAATATAGTATACCTAACTTAGGGAAGACACAAAAATTGTGTTAAACCATTGTCGCAGAAGTATATTTTTGTGGAATAAGGAATTTTTGTTCTCTCTAACACAGTGTTTCCCAAACGGTCTCGAACTGTCTGCGCTGAGTCAACATTTTATTTAAATAAATAAAATTACCATGTTTTTTTTTCATTCTCGTAGAGATAATGGACCGTAGCCACGATCAAAGCCAGGACCCGAGGGTCGTCTGCCAAATCCGGCTGAGAAAACACTGCACTAACACGTAATTTTATCTACATTTTCAAATTCGTTATTTTTCCCCCTTACGTATTAATTTATGTACCTTTTATATAAAACGTTTTCGACAGAACCTAACAGAAAATAGATATCTACACGTACATAGACTAACAGATCGATACTGGCGTATGTGTTGAGAAACAGTTTCCAGTTGTATGTAACCAGAACACAATTGACATATAAACAAAGGTAGAGCTGGTAATTAAAACTAACATTGATGTTAATATTATAGTAAGTAATTGGAAGTCCTGAAATACTAAAAATTTACCCGTTTTTCTAACATTGTCCTTAGAATAGTAAAGTTATCACTTCGTAAGTCAGATCACAGAAATTTAAGGATTTGTTTTTTGTTATTCTTAGTCGACACACATAAAATGGCATCATTTGTGTAAGGAATGAAATCCCATTTAAAAACGAGCTTGAACAGCACGCTGAAATTATTTTGTGTCTTTGTGTTCAAGCGCAAAGCCATACAACTGATTATCTGCGCTGTGCCAACTGCAGGTATTGAGCCCCGATTTTTAGCGTTATAAACCCCCATCCTTACCACTGAGCCACCGAGGGGAATAAACCTAAAGAGAAAGTGAAAGTTTGATTGGGAATCTGTTGGGGTGTGCACCCCCCTCTCAGAAGTAAATTGTATCTTCTGTTAAAATTCTGTGTTTGTTCAGTGTCAGCAATACAGTATCACGTTTTTATTTGCACTTTTGTGAGTGGTTGAAACAATTAATTCATTTTAATTTCAAATGCTATTTCCAACTCATCACTGTGAGGCCATAATTATAACGGCGTCTCTTGTGAGGCCATAATTATAACGGCGTCTCTTGTGAGACCATAATTATAACGGCGTCTCTTGTGAAGCCATAATTATAACGGCGTCTCTTGTGAGGCCATAATTATAACGGCGTCTCTTGTGAGGTCATAATTATAACGGCGTCTCTTGTGAGGCCATGATTATAACGGCGTCTCTTGTGAGGCCATAATTATAACAGCGTCTCTTGTGAGGCCATAATTATAACGGCGTCTCTTGTGAGGCCATAATTATAACGGCGTCTCTTGTGAGGCCATAATTATAACGGCGTCTCTTGTGAGGCCATAATTATAACGGCGTCTCTTGTGAGGCCATGATTATAACGGCGTCTCTTGTGAGGCCATAATTATAACGGCGTCTCTTGCTTATGCTTGAGACGGACATTGTTTTGTTCAGTCTCATATATAATATTTAATTTATTTACAACAAGGATTACAGCTGTCCCTACTTGTACTCATGACCCCGATGTGCGGAGCACGTTTTTGCGGCAGTCTGGTCACGTTAACCACTAGGCTACGCCTGGCTGTCTTTATTGAAATTAATACTTCTCAGATCTGAAAAATGTCTTGTATGAGAAGAGTTTCTACTGAAAACCACAACGAGTATTAGTTCAGCTGAAATATTTACGATATTTAAGTCAGGATGTAAACCCAACTTCCTTGCTGCCGTGTAAAATACGATATTTAAGTCAGGATGTAAACCCAACTTCCTTGCTGCCGTGTAAAATACGATATTTAAGTCAGGATGTAAACCCAACTTCCTTGCTGCCGTGTAAAATACGATATTTAAGTCAGGATGTAAACCCAACTTCCTTGCTGCCGTGTAAAATAACGGTCACAACTGCCTATATTTTATTAACAATCGGTTACCTATGAATAAGGGCACGGGAAAAGGGAGATGAGAAGGACCTAGGGTGTGCCAGGCAAGCTCTAAAAAAAAAAATACCTGGGCTCGACCGCGGCCCTGGTTTAATGCAGCGTGTTTCTTTGTGATCCTAGTCTTTATGTTCTGCTTCTGAAACAAGTTATTTTTACTAGTAAATATCCGAAAACTACTCGTTTCTACATCTTCAAGAGTAAGTAACTCAATGACTGAAAAATGGATTTAGAAATATATATATATATATACCACTAAAAGTATATATAAACAAATAAAAGGGAAGTTTTCAAACGATTACATTCTATGATTAATATATATAATTACAAGAACTTATGAGTGAAAACAAAGAATAAGTAATAACGTGTCAACCACACTAAATCTGCCATACCCAGTGCCGACGAGACCTTTCGCTCAATACCAGGTGTCAACAAGTTCTACAGTATCAGCATATTTTGTTGAGCTACTAACAAAAGTCCTCATTGTACACAAAGTCGTGTAGGTTCACATTTGAATTTTTTTATTAGCACCCACTTTCGAGTGCATTTTTAAACTGATAATACACGAACGTTTATTCTGACGGCTGTATGAGATCTGTCTGTTCAAAATTAAAGACACGTCAACACGAAATATTGTAGTTTAAGAAGAAGGAAAAAAAATGAGTTGCTTGGCTTCTGGACGTGCTTGAATAATTTTCATGTAATTGTGAAGCTAACATGGTTTTAAAAAAAAAGGGGGGGGACTTTAATAACTGAAACATGTTTTATAAATAGTTGCAGTTCGAAGGTTGCATACTTGGAGTCCCCCTGTAGGACAGCGGTAAGTTTACCGACTTACAACGCTAAAATCCAGAGTTCGATTCCCTACAGCGGGCACAGCAGATAGGCTAATGTGGTTTTAGGTTAAATATATAAACAAATAAGTAAAGTAGATTTGGGAGTAAATAAAAGAAAAAAACAAACCAAACTTGATATAATAGAGCAGAAACATGCAGTATGTTCCTGTTTCCGTAGGTGTGCTAACACAATAACTTCCTGTTTACGTAGGTGTGCTAACACAATAACTTCCTGTTTATATAGGTGTGCTAACACAATAACTTCCTGTTTATATAGGTGTGCTAACACAATAACTTCCTGTTTACGTAGGTGTTCTAACACATTACCTTTCTTTTTACTTAGGTGTTCTAGCACATTGATTTCATATTTACGTATGTGTTCTAGCACATTAACTTCCTGTTTATATAGGTGTTCTAACACATTACCTTCCTTTTTGCGTAGGTGTTCTAACACATTAACTTCCTGTTTACGTAGGTGTTCTAACACATTAATTTCTTGTTTACGTAGGTGTTCTAACACATTAACTTCCCGTTTGCGTAGGTGTTCTAACACATTAACTTCCTGTTTACGTAGGTATTCTAACACATTACCTTCCTTTTTACGTAGGTGTTCTAACACATTAACTCAATCTCTTTCTGTCAAACATTTATTTTTTGGTCAAGAAGCTTCAATATTAGTGGTCTGAATTTAAGTAGCGGCGAAACACAAGTCAACAGTGTCTGTTGTTCCTGTATTTTTTCTGCATACATGAATACCGCTAGTCCTATAACCATACTGTCCACTGATGGGTCAGCAGTAAGTTTACGGAATTACAACGCTAAAATTCAGGGTTCGATTCACCGCGATGGTCAGAGCCCAGATAGCTCATTGTGCAGCTCTGTGCTAATAAAACACCAGCAACATCTAACTATACAATGATTACGTCAAAGAAAATTTGTTTTTGTTTGTATATTTGTTGTTAAGGGCAAAGCTACACAATGGGCTATCTGTACTGTGCCCACCCCTGCTATCGAAACCAGATTTTCGGCGTTATAAGTCCATAGACATAAGGGGTGGGGCAAAATATAAACTGCTGTTATCATGCCACCCACGAGCTTGTAGATTTTGCTTGCTATGAGCGT